ACGTACGTACATACCCCACCCCACCCCCCGGGGTCCTCCCATCCATGGTGGAGAGGGGAGCCTGTTCCCTGATTGTTTCTTGTGGAAGCTCAAATGAATGTTGAAGTTTTGATGGCAGAGGTGGCAACGGTTAAGAAACCGCCGCTCTGGACACAAAGCCGCTGGGCTCGGCTTTGGGGGCACCTGCAGGGAGGCGTCCGAAGAGTCAAGCGGGCAGCCGTGGACGCAGAGTTGCAGCTGTCCTCCTGCCTCTCTCAACCCTCCTGCGGATGGCAAGGGCAGCTTCTACTTCTGAGCCCAACCATTTGGATGCGGGCGTGAAGAGGGAACAGTTATTTGGCTGATGGGAAATAGCTGCTGAGGAGCACAAGGAGGATTCTTTAACAGCCAACCAACCTAAGACCTTTTTTTTAAGAAGGGAGTATCTATTTAACACGAGTCAAACTTTGCCTCTGATAGATCCAGTAAATTTTGTTGGTCATTTTGAAGAGAGATATTTCTTCTATTTTTTTATCTCTGTGTGTATGTATTTATATTTATGTGGCTTGGAATAACTGAAGTATTCAAGGAGGTCTCCAGAAGTAAGGTGTGGATTCCATTCAAAAGCACACTGCTTTTCCTCTCCTTTTGAGCATTTAAAATAATTGCCTATTTTAGAAAAGCTTCAATCTTGCAACAAAGAGGAACGGCTGCAAATGGTGTGTACAGAAATAGCCAAATGGAAATCTGCTGCTGGACAAATGTCAAGCTTATCTATTTTTATACAAGGGGGAACAAAAGGAATAATCCAATGCCAACCCTTTTTGTGTAGATTTTACTGCAAATAAGAATAACTGTCTGCTGAATTGATTGAAAACTAATAGTATTTGATCATCTGTAAAACAGAGAAAGTAATTACATGTATTTTTCCTGGAAGTTACATTTATGAGATTGTCAAGAATGTAGAAATTACTTGTATTTCATTAGCTGTGTGCTTGGTTTAGTGGACAGCACCTTTTGCTTTATAGAGATTGCTATAGAGGGGAGAATTAGAAATAAAACATCTTTTGTTGGATCATTTGGATTTGGGTTTGTTGCCACCAGAGGGAAGGTCTTGGCAGCCTTGGGAACGCAGCGGCAGCGGGCACCTGACCGGAGTTGAGCCCTCTGCAGAGCCCTGAGCTGGGACATAATAGACGTCATCAATCTTATTCTCACAATGTTATATTATTGTTACTGTGTTATTTAGAAGGCCACCTGAGACTCCCAAACAATCATCTTTCTTATTCTTGCTATTTTACATCATTATGGTTGGTCGCACAGTCAGCCATGTGTTTAGACTAGATTTGGCATTTTTATCCACCTATCAAGTCCTTTCCAAGGACCAAGGCAGTTGCTATTTGATGGTATTAAAGGTATCGTCGCAGGATGGAAGCTGTTCCAAGTAAAGCTGCCTTTTGCAATTGAC